TCCTTGCCAAATTATGCAGCATGTTTCTGAGTTTGTGGATGCTCTTAGGTGGACTTTATCAACCAACAGACATTGGAAAGATTGTCTCAATCCTGGAGCAATGAAACCAACAATGTCTCACTGCCAAAACCATTCAAATAACATCTTTGGAACACTCTTCCACATATCAGTGTCTCTAAGTGGCCCTCAAATGACTGCCCTTCACACCCAGATACTAATGTATTTTGACAGCAAGGAGCAGTCCCCACTCCCATGCAGAGAAAAGAGAAATATATATCAAACATTTGTCCCACCCACCTTCCTTCATATCTGACTCTCCCCAGCTTAATGAGAAGTAGACACAGGCAGGCATCCCTCTCAATTATGAAAACAACATGAAATGGGAAAAAAAATTATAGCAAGGTAGAAATCATGTGACCCTTTCAACTCGCCAGGGAATATACAAAACTATATTTGAAAAGAAGGAAAGTCTTCTTTTAGCAACCTGTATAAAAGTTGATGTTTAAAATCTAGGGCAAAACAATGAAACGCATTACTGAAAATAACATGCAACATAACAATAAAGACACATTTTTTGACAGCATTTTTCTTCTTTATATAATCTCATGTAACATTTGAATTTTAGCTTGAGGATTTTAAAAGGGGGTTAGAAATGAGAGCTAGTAAAGTTTTAAACTATTGAATCACATCTCTCTACTTTTTACAAAGGAGGAACAGGTTTTTACTTCAATCATCAATACACACACATGGTACACATTTCAGCCATTTGCATTATTACCTGTAAAAAGGACCAGACTGAGGCAGAACACAAAGTAGCTGTAATGTTAAATACCGTCAAATGGGTGCTCCAGAGACCCCAAAGGAAAATTTAATTAGTCATTTCATAAATATCTGTTAAAAAGAGAAAGTACAATGAAAGATGTATGTATTGAGATGTTAGTCACAATCTCTCCTTGCATACTGGGTAGCACATACTACATGAGCCCAACAAGACTATAAGCATAGAAGAGCATTTGGCAAACAAAGTCACGGGCACAGAGACATTTCAGGTCAAAGAGTAATTTATATTTCCATTCAACACCTCTTATTCCTTATGGATTGTATAACTGGTTTTTAAAGAACAGAGAAGAAGTTAATTTGACAAGCAGAGGACATAATAAAGAGCAAAGGAAACAAAGTGAAAGAAATATTAAGAGAAAAATTCCTGATAGTATTAATAACACTTCAGCTCCGAAAGTAAGTTATACTTACAAAGGCAAAAGTCAAAAATTGATAATGATGGGAAGGTTTCTGATTAAATGTTGAAGTCTGAATTCAATATAATACTTGCAAAAAGAATTCTTTTAACAACAAATTCTCTAACAATAGAAAAAAATAACCTTTACTATTTAAACTAGATTAAAATGTTTTAAGACTAGTGTTAGAAAAACTGAAATTTCTGTATGTGAATGAAGTAGCACTTTGGGTGGGGGGCGGGGGGGACATGGCATCTGCTCATAATGACATTGTAGGAAAGACAACAACAGACCTTAACAGCCTCAGTGGAAGTGTGATGTACAAAAATCAGCGGGGGGAATATTAGCCAGAAGAACAGAAGATCAAGAAGAGTGCCAAAGCAGTAGAGAAGCTCCTTCCAAAGTGGATGGATCCCAAGTAGACAAAAAATTGGTGTCAAAGAACATTATACAGATGTGTGTGTATTAGTCTGGGCAGAATATTAAAACGGTGGGAAAAAAATGAAATCTTCTACCCTTGTTCTAATCCATTGAAATGCTACTCATTATTTTAGTTTCCTAAAGGTATCTTTGTAAGGAATGACTGAAAGATACACAACTAGCCATGCACAGCTCAGTAATTTTCAGACAGTTTGAGCTCGTGAAAAACATCATAAATAAATCAGGTCATTATCAATATCTGGAAGCACCCTTATCCCACCTTTACAGTAATAAATACTGCCTGCCCTCATCTCCTACTTACTGCCAAGTAAGACCTTGACTATTGTTTTTACAAATTATATAATCACTAGCTTCCTTGTGCGCGTTTTGTTTAGGAATTTTACCCATCGTGTTATATATAGCAATAGTTTTCTTTGCACTGCAACACAGTATCCTGTTTCATAAATATACTCACTTATTCACACATTACATTTCTGACACATTTGACTTCTGTTCAGGTTCAGACTACTACAAACTTTAATATTATACATTTCCCCATGCATGTCTTTTAGTGATCCTGTATCCTCAGTTTTCCTTGCCTCATTCTCTCAAGAACGAATCTGCATGCGATGGAGGAAGTTGCACAAAAGGCTCCATGAAAAGCAGCACACGGCAGCTTCTCCTCCTCCTCATCCTGAGCAGCACTCAGGATTCAGGTTTGCACCTTTCCAGTGAGTGTTTAGTGTTTTTGTAATATTTATTTAAATTTGAATCATCTTGAGGATTAATATGGTGTTTATTTTCAAAAGATTCTTGAACACCAAGTCGGTTTTACAAAGCCTCCATTTTTTATCTTTTTTTTTTCCTTATGCATGCTGTTACATGCTAGGGAGTGTTTTCAGACACCGCTGCCACCTGACGAGAGCAGACTATGCAGCAAGAAAGTGCTGCAGGACATTTTATGCAATAATTGACAGTACCGTATCTTCCCACCAGAGAACTCATTTCTTCTATTTCTCAATTCTCTTTGGCTATCTGCATTTTTATTATTTTGTCACCTTACTGTTCTTTTACTCATCTTGGTTTCTAACTCAAAAAGACCAGTAAGCAGGACTCAGTTAATATTCTAAAAGTTCACTAACAAGTTTGTATCAGAGAAAGAACTTTCTCAATTTAGAACTGCCAAATGCTTGACAGGATTTTGCTATTTATTAAGGCAGATTTATTTTAAGGCAAGCAGTTATTTCAAAATAAAAGGACCAATCTAAATGCATTAATAAGGTGAATCAAAATATCACCTTTTTGTCAATTCAGAAGCAGATAACAGTCAGCACTTTAAAGGAACAGCTGAAGCAGAATGGGAAAAGTTATCAAAACAGCTGAAAAATATAATGGAGCACATTCTCTAATCTCTGCAAAGTAAATAGTTACTTACATTAGGCAAAAAATCACAGGGCTGTGACCTTTCTCCCTTCTTTGCATGATTAATTACTTATGTCCTATTAATTGGAAGCTGCGGCTGAATTTCAAACACTTTCTGTGTACATCAGCCGGTACTGTAGCACAGATGAAGCTGTTTATGAAAGGTGAGCCAACAAGGTCTTCCGAGCAGTATCTCTTCAGCTATTCATTACTACTGTCAATGGTAATTAACAATGGCAACACTTGCATAACTCAACAGCCTTCTGATTATTCTCTGACAATAAATCAAAACTTGGGTACTGCAACCCCACCACTTTAATATAAACTAATCTCAGTGTAAATGTGCCACAGAGAAATTCAGCTGAAAAAACAACAAACAAAACTAACAGCCTCTTTACGTAAAATGCTCAGAAACATAAAGTTGGGTCCTTTGATGGAAAAATACGAACCTATGTACAAAACTCAGTAAGTCTGCTATCAATATACGATAAGAATTAAAGCCTGTTAAGCACATATAGGACCAATCTATTACTTGGCAGGGGAAATTAGGCTGAGTTCAGCCTCATAAATAGCATTTGCCAACTCAGCAATGGAAAGTGACAGTGTAGAATACAGAGCAGATTTAATTCATTCCACTATGAATGTGTATAACACAGAGTAACATAACAAAAAAGCAACTTGATAAAGAATGTAATTATTATGCTTATTTGCCAGACAAAATATAGAAATGGGGGCATTTAGGTTATATTTTGTGACTGATGTTCTGGAGGGGCATTGTTAATTACTGGTGAGGTTTTCACTCCTTAAAAAAACTCATATTAATTAGAGTGCACGAATGGCATTTTCCCTCTTCAGTCAGCAGGATTGACATGTAACCCTTAAATAATTATGTCTGAAGTTTTCATATCAGAAATTCACCCTGGGTGTAGGAAGGATATCCTGAACTTTTAGGAAAAGTTATTATCACTTGCAGTTGAACAATCACAAAAATTACTACAAGTATAATTGGCAATAGACAAGTTAATCAATTACAGGATCATTTATTAACAATATGATTATATCATTTTATTCTATAAATGCATGTTAATATGTTTACACACTATATGTGTTAATTTCTTTGTAAACATTAGAAGGAAAACAGTCCTCCCCTTTACTATTACACTTTAAGATTCCTTCATATGGTTTCATTTTTTAATAATTTAACACCTTATTTCTGAATATATATGCACAGAACTTGCAATGAACTTCCAGTTAACATGCTGAATTGAAATAAAAAAATTAGTCTAGAATTGTATGCATATATTGATATCCTATGTCAATGTTCGAGCAAAGAATTAGAAAATATAGCTCATTCTCTAAAATGCAGCAAGGGCTACCTGAGGAATGCAAAGGTCTCAGCCCTATTTCTCTGGAATTCACTGGGCAGACCTTCTCCCACTGACAATTTTGTGGCAATGTTGTATCCTCTGGGAATCCCTGGCATGTGAGTCCATGGCCATCAGGAGAACCAGACGACCTCTCTCCACCAGTGGATCTTAAGCTCTTGCTTTCCCTCAGTCTGGGTGAACTGAACCAGTGTGATTCATTAAACAAATATCAAATGAGGTAATGCCATGTTTAAAGATGTTTTAAAATGAATTTCTGTTGTTCTGCTATTTTGATGCAGTTTGTTATTTCTATTAAACATGGAATCCCTTCTAATAATTTATGGGTCTTTTTTTACTAAAACAGAGGAAAGGGGCTAGTATATTCTCTATTATGTAGCATTTGAGAAAGTTATTATATGGAAGGCGAAGTACACTTTGAGCCTCTTAGATGTGCACAAGTATTAAAGTAAGTTAGCTTATTACTACAAATAAGTTAAACGGCTGTACTTAAGCAAACGTTAGCAGCCACACATTTCCTCTGCCAACAGACTCTCACCTTGTGGCATCTCAGGCGGCAGATAGTGGGGCTCCTGTGCACTGACATGCACCCACTCAAAGTCATCATACAGGTCCTGGTGGTAATCGCAGGCCCCGGGGCCGTCATCAAAAGTGCAGCCACCTGCAAGGAGGAAAGAGGACCACCGTTACAATCCAGGCTTCAAGGGGAGAGGCACTGGGGAGCAAAAGGCATCGCTGAGGTATGCAGCCTGGCAGACAGAATTTTTAAAATAAATGATCTTTCTGTTTACCACTTTTTACATTTTCAAATACAAGAAATTTCTATTAGTATATTCTGTTTGAATAAGAAACCAGTTTGAGCCTCAAGAAACACGCTGAGGCACAGACTTTGAAACATTACAAAGAACACCAGAAGTATATACTCTGAGTCTTTTCTGAAATGCACAAATTGCCTAGAGTTTAAGCCATTTTTAATAAACGTAATGGAGAGAGGGGAAGTGACAGTAAAAATTAGCTTTTCTTGTAATGCAAGTTCATTGTACTCATACTAGCAAATGAAACATAACACTTTATAAGGTAGAATATTGAGGTCTGTGACACTCCCATGCCTTTTTAGACTATTTGCACAGGAAATCATGATGGGTTGTAGACCATATAGCAAAAAATCAATCAGATTAGTCAATACGCACACTCACTACTTCTACCTAATAGGCTTAATAACAAGAAGAACTTCCTTTTTTGTGTAAGCTTCTTTTTTTAAGGGCAATTGTATGGCAAAAACATAGAATAATTACTTTTCCTTGACACCCTGCATATGCAGACACACACAAGACAACATACATAGTTTACTCAAATCATGAAAATAAAAACTGGCCCTATGTCCAATCTTGCAAGAAAACAGATTAGAACTAATGAAAATCCAGCAGTGGCTTTTATGAGAAAAACCAATAACCAGCCTCCATTCAAATGTCTTATTTGTTTAATGTTCACGACAACCTTTAAGAAGAAAGTCAGCAACTCCTCTGCTGAGCAACAGGTGCATCAGAAGTTCAACAGTGAACTTCAGGTAAATAAATTCTGCTCTTCTGGCTTTCTTTATCAAGTTTTCCCCAGTGTGAACATGAGTGACATCGCATTCTCCCGTGAAGAGCCAAGTGCAAGTGGTGAAATGGGATCTCAGAGACATCCTGATGTCAGCACAGTCCTAAACCCTTCTCGAAAGCCCAGTGTGTGGTGTGCATCCTTGAATCACTCTTCATCACTCTGTAACAGCTAGGAGCAGGAACTGAGCCTGGAAGTGGAGATGCTTGCCTTCCATACCAGGAGTGCTGGTGTTGCTTCAATTCACATCTCCAGCTCCTAGCTCCAGTTTCCTGCTAATGCAGACATCTGTGAGAGAGGGATGATGTCTAAAGTAACTGGGAGCCATCACTCCAACAAGAGACTGAAATACAGTCCCTGGCTGGCAGGTCCAGGTTTGACCTGGCAGAGCTCAGGCTCTGAGATACGTGAGTACAGGTATCTGAGTTGTGAACAACCGGATGGGAGTTCTCTGCGTGTCTCTGCCTCTCACACATATTTGTATAATAATAAAACAACTACGCTCCAGCAGCTGGAAAGGTTACCACTATTAAATACACTCAAAATAGCCTTTTTGTATGTGTACTCATGAAAAATTATGCAATTTTTAATTTAAAACTAATCAATGAAAACAGGTTGCTAGGAAATATATCTTCACATAGCAAAGGGAAAAATTATCTCAAAATATAATTTGTTATCACAACATTAAAATGACTTATTGCGTTCCAACACAAAGCTTCAGGGCCCCCAATACCCTTTATAGGAATGGGAGTCCTCTAGAAATAAATCTAAAGTGCCAGTGGAACCTACATTGACTCATTTGGAAGACAAATGTTCTTAATTGCTGTCCTTCATGGCCACAGTTAATTCTGGACTCCAGGATTGTGATTAAAAACAACAACTACAAGTAGCTGAGCCAAGTAAGTGGGTCAACCCCTGCTATTTGTTGCCTATCACTGCCATTTCAGGCATATCTCAAACTGAAGCTGTTAGAAAATTATTACTGGTTTTCTTGAGGGATTAACTTAAGGTTTGCAATAATTTCCAATCAAAGAGTTCTAAATATCTAAATTTGGTACCAGTTGTACCGAATTTCAATAAATCTTTGCTAAAAATATCTTTATCAGTGATTTCATAAAGATCATTGAATTTCAGTTATGGGCTAATAAAGTGCACTGGATTAGAGGAAAGAAAATATACACAGGTAATCGATACACGGTGGAATGAGATCATATCGGCCATAGAGAAGCATACACAGTGCATCACGTGTGTTATTAACTGCATGAGCAACATCCTTAGAGGACTGGCCCCTTAGGCCAAGCATTCACTAATCTACTCTTAGGATGAGCAAACATGTGCCAAGCTAAGAAAATCCAGAATGTAAAGGCTCTGCAATCATAGGAAAAAAAGTAAAAGTCTATAAGTTCACTACACACCAGGAATTCTCATGTAACGTATACAATAAATAGTCAAGAAATTATATAGTGGACAAGGCAGATAAAAACTAAATCTAAAAAGTCTTAAAAAAAGGAGTTTAGACTTGTCACTAGTTATACTAAATCTATGCAAAGGTCTCATACATGGGTCTGACATAATTCAAGACTTATGCTAAAAAAATAGTAACTCCAGCAGTCCACATTGAGTTTAAAGACGAAATAAGGGCAAAGAAGGTAGCTTATGTGCTTCAGCCATTACAATAAAAGCAAATCACATACACTGAGCAAATTCCACCTTACACAATCCCATTGGACCATTTAAGACTCATCAAAAAATACTAAACATAGTCTTCTCTGATAAACAGCCCTCTGTGCGCATGTCCTAGATTTGAAACATCTTTATTTGTGGTACCATAGTCTTTTTAAAAGAGAAATGACACAACCAGTTTTTATTTCATTAAAAAAAAAAAGTATGAGGTTAAATTTCACGGAGCTGGATAATGAAAAGGAAAAAGGCAAGACTAAATAATTCAAGTAATTTGCTAAAGAAGAGGGATGTATAAGGCCATGGCAGGTAAGACCACCACCTGCCACGTCTACATCCCAAGTGTGTGCTGGTTCATGTGCCAGCCACTCCACTTCTCATCCTGTCCCTGCCCTCTGCTGATGGACTGAGAAAAACAGTAGAGGACAGCTAAAAAGTGTGGGCTTGGGCCACCTCCAAGGGTATGTGGAAGAAGCCCCTGATTCCTGGCTTCAGACTGGCCAAGCCCCAGCTGCCCTGGTCATTGTGTAAGGGAGGGGGGAGAGGCAGCGATTAGAGATGAAGGGGAGAATGGTGGAGGCGGGTGATTCAGTAACTCTCACTGCAACTCAAACAAAGAATTAAAAGGAGGGAGAGTGAGAGAGAGAAGAAAAATCAAGCAAGCAAGAATCTCCATTTACAGTTCTATTTGCTAAGACTAAAATGAGTAGCCAGAAATCGTGCCAGAAAAACGGGAGACAAAAGCTCCATGACCCTTGGAGGAAAATCACTTCTGAAGGACGTTTCGAAGATTGCTAATTCCTCTATGGCAATCATCTGACGCACAGGTCTGCCACTGCAAGGGTCTGCTTCTACTAATGCAAGCCATTGAAGGGGCTTTGCAACATGCTCACCAGCAAATAAAAATCAAGATAAGCTGATTTGGACATGGCAGAATTCCTTTCCATTCCTAAACTGCTCACTGACAAACCGCTAACTCACAAGAATTATTGCTCACTAAAATCTAGCTGAATCTGACACGTGAGAAATTCCTTCCATTTCTACAATACCTGGCCAGAGAACTACATGTGAGCACTTAAAAAACCTTACAGAAAATCAAATTATTTTATAATTATTTGGGTACAAAAAGATGTAAGGCTTTTTCATAGAAAATGGGTATTATGAAAAACTATACATGGGTTTCAAAATATTCAAAATACTGATGAATCAAGATAAACATTATCATTGAATCTCACTTTTCCACCGACATTTTGAAGTGCCCACATACTTCCTGGCTGTCCTTTTAAACCAGAGTAGCATCAATATTCTGGTGCTGGAGAGTATGTGATAATAGAGACCCTTGCCGTAGAATTTTGAAAAATGAATATTAAACCCAAATCTCTCATAAAGTCAGACTTTTCAGTAAGTCTGGAGGTAAATTTGAGTTGAGATGGAGAAAAGTAAAATATAAGGTACTGAACAGCCCTGAATATTTTTGCAAAAGTCATTTTTCAGAGATGCCTTAGACTACATATATAGTCTTAATTTTATAATGAACTATGATAGCAAAAAATATATAACTATCTTTCATGGGTTTTTTTTTTTAATTTTTACATTAGTAAGGAACTTCTTGAGCATAAAATGTTGTAAAATGCAATCCATATCCTTCAAATAAATATTACTTCAAGAAAATTACAAAACATTCAAAAAGAAATAGCATAAGACATTAAAAGATGGAAAAATATTTCATGTTCCTAAATCAGTAGAATCTACACCATCAAAATGTCCATATTACCAAAAGTAATGTACAGATTCAGTGAGATGCCAATCAAAATCCCAACAACATTCGTCTCAGAAACAGAAAAAACAAATTCACCTGGGAACACATAAGACCACAAATAGCCAAAGCTATCCTGAAAAATAAGAATCAAGCTGGAGGAATTACAATTCCAAACTTCAATATATATTACAGGACAATGGTAATCAAAACAGTCTGGCACAGTACAGAAACAGACAAGAAAACCAATGGAACAGAACAGAGACCCCAGAAGGGAATCCACACATGTTCAACAAATTAACCTTCCTCAAAATGAGGCAGGATGAGCTTTTCAAACCACCCAGGATAGCTCTGGGTAAGAGACCCGGCCTCAAGTTAGTGCTCCAAAGATATTACACTCCCCTACCCCCTCCTTTGAAGAAATACTATTGTAAACTTCCCCAACCACACCACAGGCCACACTCTCTCAGGCAACTTGTAATGCAAGGGAGGGTCTTGACTGAATTAAACTTTTAAATTCTTGCTGATCAGTAATGTCTGCAAGTAATTTTACTGAAGTAGGAAAATTGGTATTATCATAACATCATCTTATGATTCTTGCTGGACAAATTTTCACCTCATAT